GTGGAGCAAGACAGGTCAGTTCTCCTTACCAAATGTCAGATCAGAAGAAAGGTGAATAATATGTATTTGAATATATGAAGTTCTAGTTGGCATGTATTCAAAATGATATATTGTATAAGCTCTGAATAGTTCTGTAAATGTTCTGAATAAGTTATATGGATAAAAATTTTAAATCACTCACTATTTTATACAAGTAAATGTTTTGAAAAGTCAATATGACACCTCAGACTTGGATCCGGGTCGGATACGGGTTAGGGGTGTTACATACGGTCTTAGCCCAAAGGTATTATCCAGAATTGTGTCCGGTAGTGTTCTCCTCTCCACTTCAGATACCAGAATGGTACTGACTGGTAACTCATACGAAAGCCAACTTTCATCCATCAAGTCGGGCACGTAAGGGGTTTTATCAATATGTCGACATATTATGCCATGTGAATCGGGCTCTCGAACGGTTGGAGGGACCTCTTGAATGATGACAGGGCCTCTTGAACAGTGGGAGGGGCCTCTTGAAGGATGATAGGGGCCTCTTGAACGATAGGAGAGGCCTCTTGAATGATGACAGGTGCTTCGGACTTCTTCTTACGGAGTCTTGGCACTATTGAAGTGAACGGAGACGTAATGGCACATGCACGACGTCTGATGCGTGAACCCCGTCGTGCAAGAAAAACCCGACGTAAAGCATCTACCTTATCGGGCCGCTAAAAATAAATTAATACATAAATCAATAAATAAACAAATAAATAATGTCGAAAAAAGGTTATTTGCATTTTTAGTATAGTATTAAACAAACTTACCTTATTGCGTAGAGTATGAACCTCATTATGTAATGATGCAACAATCTCACGTAGAGCGGCTACCTCATCACGTAAAGTAGATACCTCACCACGTAAAGCAACATTGTCATCGCGTAAAACCTCTACCTCACCACGTAAAGACCGTACCTCATCACGCCATGCACCATTGTCTTCACGTAAAGTACCGACCTCCTCACGCAAAGCATTGACCTCATCACGTAACTCCCCTAACTCATCCCATGGAGGTGGAGAACAGGGAGATAAATGTCGTGGCATATTTTTCGGTCGCCTATCATGAGGTGATGGTGGAGAAGAGGCTCGATGATGTGATTAAATAGGTGATGGCTCTCGTTGTGGAGGTGTATAATCGGCTCGATCAGGTGATGGCTCTGGGTGAGGTGATGGATGCTCATCATCCGTGCTATAAAAAAATGCTTAATAGCTTGCCACCAATCAGTGGCAAGCTCAGCCTCTATGGGTGTCAGCATCTGTAATGGATAGTTGGCCTCCTAACAATATAAAAGCTCAAACAAAGTTAAACGTCTACTAGTAATAACCTGTTTATATATGGTAGTATTTGTGTTAACTTACATCATTCATCGTTGTATATGGTAGTAACTCTTCCCAATCCAATAGTCGGATCCTCCTCCAGGAAATAACCCTAGGAATATCATTTGAATTTTTAATTGCATATGTCCACATGCTGGGAAAAGCCTCAAATATCCAAATCTACAAACAATATAATACACAAACATTAATAATTGTTAAATAATTAATTATAATTTTGGAAACATTATATAGAAATTCTTACCTTAAATGCCCAAATAAAGTCTGTCAAAGTGTATTTGGAACCATGGCCACGCAAACTTTTTTGGTCCTCAAAGGCAGACGACAACTTTTTTCAGGTAGCTTTCCATAGATATGAACCCCACGGAAACAAGTTTCATGCATTTAAGTCCTCTACCAATAATATTAGGTCCTCCGAAATATGTTGTCTGGCCTCTTTGCCTAAAAAGTCGGCATGCAAAAGTAATAAATGGCATACTCGGACAATATCGAGGTCATCCATCCGAGTAAAATCATCTTTAACAAATAATCTCTTCAAGTCGTCGACGTGTAAACTCGACTTCGCCTTTGCCATCTCAGGAAAAACCCGAGATAACCATGATGGGCGGGTGATATGACTAGTGTACCGACCTACATCATCGTGTCCAAAGTGTAGACCAGTGATTAAGCAAAACTCTCCCGCCCAAAACAAGTATACGCCGGAGGAAAATGAAACAATATCTCTTCATCACCACGTTGTATCCTCTCGGGTAGATCGTAAGTCATGATCTGAAGAAACAAATAGGTCAACATAGCATCTCTACCCGGATGTTGTACTTTCAGCCATGGCCCGAAGCAAGTATCATCAAACAATTTTCTTTGTACAGGTGTAAGCGTCGACGTAATTGTAGTGGCTAGGCTTAATTTATTCCTTAAGGTCAATGAAGCCGAAAAAAATTTCTACAAAAACAATAAACATACCAAGTTAGATATACCAAAAACTACAAATTATACACTATAAACAGACATGATATTAAACTGTGAAAACAAAGCCAAATATGTTTCAAACTTGCACGGTATTCACCCAAGTCATTATTCTATCATAATTCACAAAATGCATCAGATAACATTGTGAAGTTAGTATTTGTCTTTGTTTTTTGGTTGAAGTAGTGCAATTCATTCAAGTTTCAATTTGCAGAAGAATAATAGTTTCTGAAACTTAAAATCGCAATGCGAAAATGAAAATCGTAATGCGAAATGAAAATCGCAACCAAATAGTTTTCTGCAAATTGAAACTTGAATGAATTGCATTACTTCAACCAAAAGACAAAACAAAGATAAATACTAACTTCACAGGGTTAAAGACTAAACAGTTTAACAGTATTGGCAGCAACCAAATGAATTTACTAAGCAATCTAAGTGAAATGGTTAATCTATTACTGAAATTACCAGTAAATTTATCATCAATTTAAATATGAAAAATCTAATAATAATACAAAAATAAAAAATAAAAAATAATTAAAAAACTAACCCTCGGTGGTTGATTTTCTATTTTTGACCGTGAATGGTTGTGAGGGTGGCTCTGAGAGATGGAGATAGACGGATTTCGCCGGAGATGGGGACGGATGTCGCCGTAAAGAGTGAGAGATGAAGATGGATTGAGTTATGATTTAGGGCTTTAGATTATGATTTGTGATTATACTGTTTACATTTGTGTTGCGAAATAAATATTGTGTTTCGAATTCGAAAATAAAATTCACGTTGCGAAAATAAACGCGCTTTGCGAATTTGACTTCTGTGTTGCGAATTTGACTTTTGTGTTGCGAATTTGAAAACTGAGATGCGAAATTAGAGTTCGCGTTGCGAATTTGTTGGTCATTTTCGCAAATCCAAAAAAAGTTGGTTAAAATCGTATATTATAAGGTATTTTCGGTCACTGAAGTTATTTTCTCTTTTGACTATATGGCACTGTTTGTGGAGTCCCCGACTATTAAAAGATACAAAATAATCTCTTGACATTTGACAATAGGATGTTGATTTGTTGAATCCTCTGGCTATTAAAAATTATAAAATAGTCCTATTCATATTATATAAACTCATCATTTCTAATTAAAAAAATTGACAGTCGTCTGAGCTAGACATTAACCCGTTGTCTATGATATGATAAAATATGATCTCGTAACTATTTGAGTTGTATTTTATGGATCGACTCTCAATTTACATTATATTGTCGAGTCAATGCTTGAAAGATTATACCGTCGAGTCAATGATTGAAAGCAATGTTGGAGGGTGTAGGAATTATTAAAATATGATTTTATCATATCTTAATCAATAGGTTAATGTCAAGCTCAGACGATTGCCATTTTTAACATAAAAATACAAGTTTGAAACACATGAATAGTCAGATGACTATTTTTGTAACTTTTAATAGTCGAATGACTCAATAAAGTAACAACCAATAGATGAGAGACATTTTATAATTTTAATAGTCGGAAGGTTCAACAAAACATCACCTTATAATTGGGGACCATTTGTGTACTTCACCCTTTTTTAGAAATAAAAAAATATTTTTCTTTGATGGGAAAACCTGCGCTTTATCTTATAGTGGATTACAAGTTACAAGGTTTGAAATGATCAATTCATTAGCAAGTTTAGTAGAGAATTGTGAAAAAACGTACGAGTTATTAAAATTTATTTGATGTATATTTTCTGTTATTATTATTTTTATAATAATTTTATGCCTAATCATATCATATATCATTATGTTACGGTTAATTATTAGGTTATGTATATATTTAAATATTTTAATTTTTCAAAACTTTAATCTCGTAATCATTTTTTTTGGCTCCATCCCTACCCACACAACGTAAAATCACGAATCTTATACATATACGATGGTCCAAATTGAATTTATAGTTAAAATTAAAAATCTATTTTAATTAAAAATAACAAAATTTTCTTTCTTTTTAACCCACGTCATATAACTATACAAAATATCCAAACCTATAATATCCCTATATCAATTCCATGGGATGTGAAAAGTTCAATACATGCAAGTAACTGGGGGAAGCACAAGCATATGAATCCAATTTCGCTGTAATATACAATAGCACTCCAAAATGCAATTTTCCGTGTAGATTTTACATTTTATAGAATTTTCCACCCCCTTATATTTCAATGCCTTTGAATTTGAAAAAGTTGGGTCCTCTTGATTAAGACTGATTTCTTTCAAAATTTAAGAATTCAAAAAAAAATTGTCGGTATCCAATTTTTTTTTAATTTATTGTGAAGCATTTATAGTAATTTTTGTTTGGATCAATATAAGTTATAATCGATCATTCGATTTTTAATGTGATTCTGCAATTCCCATAGTCTGCAAGCACTTTCACCTGAAAATCAAGCCATGCATTTCAAAAGGATAAGGCAAACACCCCCCCCCCCTCCCAACAAAAGAAAAAAAAAGGAAAGGAAACCAGAAAAGTAAAACAAACAAAAATTTACATTCTGAAAGTGTCATCAACTATGGCAATCTCTTTGACAGAATACCCAAATGAACGATAAATTCATTGACTTGACGATCAGATTATAGATCATAAGTTCATATTACCAACCCAATCCCATGCATGCTTTTGGTGTTCCCCATCACCAATAGAACATGGTCTGTAGTAGATGCCACAGATTTCTGTAAAGGATCGGTAAGTACCTGACTATGTAAGACGAGAGAGGCGAGGCCAAAAAGTAGTGTCTTGAATCAGTTATGGCAGATATCAAGTTCAGAGGAAGTAATCAGGCGTTCTGCGGGTAACATCCGGTTCTCCTCTCCTTGGAGCTGGCTCGAACTGCAGGGAAGATGTACTTAACAGTTTTACACACGAGAGAAAAGGAAATTTGATGGCGAAAGTAAAAGAGGTAGGACAGAGAAGGGTACCTGGATGAATGTGTGACTGTTGCAATCATCAACTTCCAAGATCGATGCCATGTTTCCGCAGCGATAACAATAATTCGGGACACTAAATATAGTAACTACCTTCTGTTCCTGTTGGGAGGACATAATATTGGAATCAGAAATCAAGCAATTTATAATTAGTGTACAAGCAAAAACTAATACTCTCACCGTCCCATTCTCTTTGTCCTCTTTTCCTTATCTAAAGGCTTAAATCTCTTTCTTTATTCCAAAACTATTTTTGACGGACTTCTTTTATTTCAGCCATTAGAAACCAAGGAAAAAAACAAAATTTACTAATACTTACACCCAAGTCTTAAGTTCTATTCTAAAACTTTTTGAAGGTGAGAGATTAACAACATGGAATGTAGGAGCAACAATGTAACATTTTGAGAATCATGATTACATGTGCCCAGTTAAATCCATCCATAACCAGCTGATGAGCTCTGGCAATCAATTTTAAACTGTTTGTATGGTTGAACTGTTCAGATATATCCTGCACAGAAGAATGCAACATTTTAATAATTAAAAAGACTGAGAAAAGGAAAGGCAATCATAGAAACGCCAAAAGAATGGTCAAATTGAATATTAGTTACCTGGCCAAAGGTATAACCAGCACCACGTGGTGAGATACCCCAACCGCATCGATCATCTGGATCAGACCACAATAAATCACACATGGGCCCTTCATGAGGAACCTCTTGAACACGATCAAAGTTTCTTATATTATCCAGGGTTTCAATTGATGGGGACAATCCACCATGCAGACAAAATATTTCTGACTCCACCTGAAATGAAGAAAACAGCACTGTATCATTCAATGGCAGCACCAAAATCATTTTAACTTCCCCAAATTTTCAATTCAGTTCCATGAGGTACAAAGGTACCTCATCAATTGAAAGCAACACTACGTTATAAAGCTTGTATATCCTTTTTTTTTTCTTTTGGGTTTGAACCACAGGTGTCCCACCTATCTGTTTAACGGTCAGCTTGTATATCTTTTTAGCCAGAACCAAAACGATATACTAATAGAGTTGGTCAATCATAAAACAATTTATCTTGTGCAGTGAAAAGCATGTGTGAAATTTTTAGCAGCATCTTTAATCCATTCGAAACAAACATGAGCAACATCCAATTGCTTCCACGGACATTCTAAAATGATTTGATGTTATTTTTTATGGTAGGCACTAAGGGACTTCTAGATACTGCTTAAATTGGTCTCGATATGCTACAAAAAATTATAGGTAGGGATCTACAAATCCCAAATGTTTCTTGGTCGGCGAATAAGGCAAAATGAGATTATTCAAACTCCAAAACTGAAATAGGAATAAACATCTTAATGATAACATAATACTAATACCACAACAATAAAATGTATGGAGGACAACAGTCAACAGCAAAGCCCAAAAAACTAGACGCCCACTAAACATAAAGGTCGAAAATCAAAAGAACAATGTTGGTAGGAATGTTCTTAGTTCTTTCCTTGACTCTGCATAGCTTATTACCTTAAATTAAAATAATATACACATTGGGTTAATTCAACTTACCAAAGCAGTTAATGGAAAATAGTCAAACAAGTCTGTAAAAATCTTCCAAACATTAGCATTGCCATACCTGTAAGTAAATCACCAGAAGAAGTATTATCATGGATTTACAAGAAGAAGAAGCAACTATATTGTTTCTAGTTTCAACATTAGTACAATTTTCCTGAGTGGTATAACATTTATATATCATATAATTTGAAGCAAATACAATATCATTTATTTTCTTCAACTGCAAAAACAGTTTACTAAAGCTAGTACATTAATAGCTCATAATACAACATTCTTCAAAATGAAGGTTGTTTATATAACTCACTTTCTCAGACATTCATCATAAAATCCGTAAACTTGAGTGATCTGCCAAAAAGAGAAGGAATGACCCAAGAATTAGCTTGACACGGGATAAGATGGTAAATATTTCATATAAACTGAGTTAAGACTCTGATGCAAATTATAAGACCATAAAATCTCAAACTTTTCTACGTGCACATGTATTAGGACAGACAAGGTGGAAAGAGCTTAAAGAACATGCAGACTTCATACCTGGCGACTCTCATGATTTCCTCTAAGAAAGGTAATCCGCTGCGGGTAACGGACTTTCAAAGCCACCAAGAGCTGAAAGTGGAAAAAGATAAAAAATGAATCACTATCAACTAAAAGGAAGGCATATAGGCTTACGTTAGCCTTTTGAACTCTGAAGTTGTAGATCTCACTTTACAGAACTTAATAATTTATGCTAGCACCGAACAAAACAAAGCTTATGCTAGCAAATGCAAAACTGTCAGTAATTTCAATATAGTACGTATATTTATGATCAGCGAAAGGAACAATAGGCAACCTTATTTGAATCATGTTTTAAGAAACATCTAGCATGAGGTATGTTCTCATAGAAATGGAAGGTAGAATCAGACAAAAATTCTTCCTACCATATTCTGCATTAGATTGAACTTAATGTGCTTCAAATAGAGAGCCAAAATAGCTAAATAAGAGAAAATGCAGCAACTCTAAACTCAAAATTCCATATCCAAAGGAAAATTTCCAGAAGGCAAAGGCATCCCAAAATTATTACGTTTAAGGCCAAATGGCCAATGATACTAAAACAAGGCAGGTGCTGATGGGAGAATCAACCAAATTCATTATCACAGTTATGAGTCATGGCCCTAAAAATCTAATCCAAATTTCTTCATAATGTGTTGTTTCTGCCTTCAGGCCACACTTCAGCAGCAATCAAAAATAATTTTTCATGAAAAAATTAGAAAAAAAGGCTTTTTTGCAATTAACAGTACATACCGTGACGGTTTCAACCGAATAGTACCCACGATCGACGTAATCTCCCATAAACAAGTAGTTTGTATCCGGACACTGTCAATAAGGATAAAACGAACCATAAAGACCGGTATGAGCAATGGAAAATGCAAAGAAAAATTGTGTAACAGATTAGGCAACCAAGTATTACAAGTAGTAATAAATCCTAAGAATGCCTGAAGAACACTAGTGTAAGTTCATTGTGATTATATGAGGTAAAACATTAAGTAGAATTTTCTTATCAAAACAGAACTGTTATGCAGGAAGTCCCAGTCGCCCAGAGAAAATTGGCTCCCTTTGGATCCCACTGCACTTTCCCTACTATGGAATCCTAAGAGCATTTTGGCTCCATTCTCACCACAGCCCATTTGTGTAACCGTTCAGCACACCCCCAATTGGGAAACCATGCCTCACCAGACCTCAAATTTTGACTAGAGCTTAAACCTCCAACTCCAGCAGAGGGTGTAATCTCCAGTTTATCCCCTTCCACTTTTTTCTTTTAATTCTATTAGTATAATATTTTTAACATAAATATAACTTTAACTAGTTTTTAATATCAAATACTTTTAATATATTTTATTAATCAATATGAATATAATATAAATAATTTTCTATACTTTAGTTTTTTAAATAAATATAATTTTAGTAGCTTTAAACTATTAACACAGAATTTATAATAATATTTTAGTATTTAATATAATTATGATTTTAGTAAATTTAATTATTATATATACGCATCTTAATACTCTACACTTTTGATCATTTTATACTTCAATCTCACCACCACCATCATGTTTGATTTTTAATTACACTGCTATTTTCCTCAATCTCAGTTCTCAATCTCATTGGAGCTAATTTCACAATTCACAGTCCATCCAAATGGAGCTTAAGCTAATATCCAAATGACATTTGCCAAATAAAAATGCCTCTGCATAGATCCAAAACCAATCTTCAACATATTGAGAACTCAGCTAATTATTTTACGCATTCCCTCAGCTGAAACAGAAAAACTGAATACAGGGGAAAAAAGGTCACAATCAAAACAAGTACCTTCCCCCCAATTCAAAAAAGTTCAGCAAGATCATGAAACTGCCCATGAATATCACCACAAATTGTCACAGGACTTCTCACAGGCTGTGATAAAAATATAAAAACAAAACAAGTCAATGTTTTCCCAGCTCAAGGATAAGGAATCTCATCATCTCCAGTATATATTGACCAAAAAACACTTAGAGATCGTGGAAGCCAGACAGATACAAGACAAGATACTAAAATAATAAACCTGGACATTGCTTTCTCCCATTAATATTTCCTTTGCCTTGTCGCATAATGCTCTGACCTAAACAAGGTAACACGAAAACAGAGTTACAAACATCTCTATTGCAATAAACACACAAACCAACTACATCAAATAAACAAATAAATTGTTTTGAATTGAAGAGAGACAAAATTGCTCTTTGTATTCATTAATTATAAATCAAATAAAATTCCCGCAGGCATAGAATTTGTGCTATTGCAGTAATGTCTTAAAATAAACTCCATTCAAAATCGGTTTTAAATTCATTTTGCAGCAGAAATAAAGCCTAATCGATTGCTCAAAAAATTCAAAATTAAGTTGCTCAAATTTTCCATACTTTATTGGAAAGCAAACAGATCCAGAGGGGTGCAAAAAAAAAAAAGACAGGTACCTGCTGCTCCGAAAGTGGCTTACATTGCATGAGCTGCGAGATCTGCTCATCGAGATCGACGGCTGAGCCTGTCGGTGATGGATTAGCGCCCATATTCGATTTATAAGTAGCAAGAATCGAAAGTTTGAAATTGTTATCCGGATTAGGGATAACCCTAACCCTAGTTTGGTTTGGGAATGGTTTCTGTCTACTCTTTATGGCTCGGCTGCTTCTGTGACGAGTGGAACGTATAGCCTGGGAGTATCCGGCACAGAGCTTAGTTTCAATACATTTACTTTATACTTTTATTATATGAGTAAACTACACAGTTAGACACCTAACTATTCAACATTTAAATTTTAGACACATACAAATTCACAAACTTACAAAATGACCGCTAAAGTTATATTCAGCTCTTATTTTAGTTACCTGATTGTAAATTTAGATAAATAACACGTTTTAACTGAAATCGTTGTTGTGTGTAATTGTATTTGTTGTGAATCTATAACGATAATAGTTTTAACATCAAAGTCCATAATATTTAAATCTATTAAAAATATCAAATATATATAGATATCTAATTATACAATATAAATTATCATCTTTCTACATGATAACACGTAAATGTCAAATTTAAATATCTAATTATTTTAAAAATTAAATTAATAATATTTTTTTAAAATTACATAAATTTCATTAAATTCATGAATAATTTAAATTTTACACAATTATATTTTTCCTTCATATTATTTATTCGAAATAAAGATCCACCAGTCCATTTAATAATTCTAAAATTAAACGACCTTGTAGTTAAGACACGATTGCCCGTTAGGAGAATCCTTTTAATTATGACGCATGTAGATTTTTCGATTCTTTAGATTTCTAGCTGAACGCAAACACCAAAGCAAAAGAAAAGGCAAAGAAAATAGAACGACTCGTAAAGTAAACAACACTAAAAAATCAAGGTATCCCATTTTTTTCATCTTCCTGACCCCATCTTGCTGAAGATGTTTCAACCTGGTTTCTGCTGTTTCTCATCAGTTCTTGTGTTTATATATATATATATATATATATATTTTCCTTTAAAATATTTGGTTTTATTAGTTTCATTTAAAAAAAATCTTTATTGATGTTTATTTGCTGACTTTGCTTGCATTTTCATTGTTAAAGTCTCATCTGCAAGAAGGAGAAGATAAGAAGACATTTTGAGGGATTTATAATTTTGGTTTTTTTTTTCTCTATTGGTTCGATTAGGTTTTTGTTAGGATTTTCCGGTTTTCTTAGGTTTGGGGAAATATGAGAACTTCATGGGCAGATTCTGTAGCAAACTCTGCATCTGAAACTGCTGTTTCAGACAACAATTCCTTACGTCGCCCAACACGAGCCACTTATGTTCCGCCCCACCTTCGTAACCGTCCTGCTTCCGACACACCTAACATCTCAGGACTGGCTTCTGAGAGTGAGAGGACAAATTTTAACGGAACTGCTGGTGGGTCCCAATGGTCCCGGTCAAGCATGGGCGGCGGTGGCGGCAGGACTAATCCCGAGATGGGGCGTCAGAGTCAGGTTTATGGCTATGCTGGAGCTGGACGAGGCGTCGGCCGTTGGAATAATAGAATTGGTGGTTGGGATAGGAGAGAAACGGAAGTAAACCCTTTTGGCGGTAGTGATGAAGCTGATGTTACGGACCAAACATTCAGTGAACAAGAGAATTCAGGTATCAATTTCGATGCATACGAGGATATTCCCGTGGAAACTAGTGGTGAAAATGCGCCACCGCCTGTAAATACATTTTCTGAGATAGATTTAGGGGAACTATTGAATCAAAACATTAGGAGATGCAAGTATGTGAAACCGACTCCGATTCAACGTCACGCCATTCCGATAGTGTTAGGAGGAAGAGATTTGATGGCTTGTGCTCAAACAGGGTCTGGGAAGACAGCTGCTTTCTGCTTTCCTATTATTAGTGGAATTATGAGCGAGCAGTATGTACAGAGACCACATGCAGCTCGCACTGCTTACCCTCTTGCACTCATTCTATCTCCCACAAGGGAGCTTTCTTGTCAAGTGAGATTCTTATTCTTAGAACATTGAGTTTTCAGAATGGTTTAATGTCCTTTTCTATCTGATGATATTACAATTTTCAGATACACGACGAGGCGAAAAAGTTCTCCTACCAAACTGGTGTCAAGGTTGTAGTCGCCTATGGAGGAGCACCAATTAATCGACAGGTTGCTAGTGCCTCAAATTTAGTTTCCAACATCTTTCATTGTCTATTTAATTTGACATGCATATATCTTAATTACTGTCTCATGCTAAACTAAATGACTTTAATCTGCAATATATATTTGTTCTAAGACTAGATGTCTGTTTTTGACTCAATGAGTTGTTGATTTGTTTCAAAATGTGTTGTAGTTTGTTTTCATATCTAGTGATTCCTGGCTTATTGGTCTCCTTACAAACCTCTATCTCTGAATACCTGATTTTTTTCCGCATACTAATACTTTATTACTTAGTTGCGAGAGTTGGAGAGAGGAGTTGATATTCTGGTGGCAACTCCAGGGCGCTTGGTAGATTTGCTTGAGAGGGCTAGAGTTTCATTGCAGATGATAAAGTACTTAGCACTTGATGAGGCAGATCGCATGCTTGATATGGGTTTTGAGCCACAAATCAGAAAGATAGTGGAACAAATGGGCATGCCTGATCGAGGCATGAGACGAACAATGTTGTTTAGTGCCACCTTTCCAAGAGAGATACAGGTTGGTTATAACTGTTAAGTAGTAGGGCTCTCTATGGATGCAGCTGGTTTTGTTGGCATCATCTAGTCATGTTTTGCACATATAATAGTAAAATAAAATGTTTTGAGATGTGAAATGAATTTAATGTTTTTCTTGGAATATAATTTTGTTACTGGTTTGAATCCTTTTTGCTACTTCTGTATGTTCTCTAGTAACTCGAAGTAGCTGTTTGCTCAGGAAAAGTTGACTTTCCACAGCATTAACTCAATGCACTAAATGGAATCAACTTGATTGTGAGTTTTCGCTTTTGAAATTTACCAATGCAAAATGAAGTAAAAACATTATTTTTCCTAAAATTTTGCTTTAGAATAAATTTGAAATGGAATCAACTTGATTGTGAGTTTTCAATAATAAAAAGGAAGATTATCCAAATTAGATCGCATAATTCCTTTGTAAATTGGTGATTGTGCAGAGGCTTGCATCTGATTTTCTTTCAAATTACATATTCTTGGCTGTTGGGAGGGTTGGTTCTAGCACGGATTTGATTGTACAAAGGGTTGAATTTGTTCAAGAGTCTGACAAGAGAAGCAATCTCATGGATCTTCTGCATGCACAGAGAGAAAATGGAGTTCATGGCAAGGTATTGTGAGATTATCTTGAATGGACACTTGTTTTTTGAAGTTCCTTTATCCTTTGGATTAGGAGTTAATTACTGGATATATTTGTTTATATATAATTACCATTCATGATGTTGATTCTGCTATCTATCTAGTCTCATTTAATCCATGATAATTAAAAGTTGTTGATCGGTGTGTGTCTCTTACCTTGCAGCAAACTTTGACATTAGTTTTTGTGGAGACTAAAAAAGGAGCAGACTCATTGGAGCATTGGTTGTGCTTAAATGGATTTCCAGCAACCACCATCCACGGTGATAGAACTCAACAGGTAATTGTTAAAAAATACATCTGCTAAAATGAAGTGAAATCATATCCATTTGACTTAAAATTCAAGTATCTAAAGGGGCTGCTAACTTTCGTGTGTCTGATCAAGTCCCGATGTAAGAAGTTATTGCACTACATAGTAGGACAATTCTTTAGTTGAAGTCGGTCTGAGATGTGTTGCAATATGCTATATGCATTTAGCCTATTCTAGAAAGAACGTGTCTTCAAATAAATCTTGTTATTCAGGAAAGGGAACTAGCATTGAGATCTTTTAAGAGCGGAAAGACCCCAATTTTAGTAGCAACTGATGTGGCTGCTCGTGGTCTCGATATTCCTCATGTGGCTCACGTGGTCAATTTTGACCTTCCCAATGACATTGATGATTATGTCCATCGGATTGGAAGGACAGGTCGTGCTGGTAAAACAGGATTGGCAACAGCTTTCTTTAATGAAGGCAATTTGTCACTGGCTAAGCCACTAGCTGAGCTGATGCAAGAAGCAAGTCAAGAGGTTCCTGCGTGGCTCGCCCGATATGCATCCCGGACACTTTATGGTGGTAGCAAAAACCGACGATATGGAGGAGGGCGTTTTGGTGGGCGTGATTTCAGAAGGGAGGGTTCATATGGTAGGAATCTGGATCACTACGGCTTGGTTGGAGGGAATAGTGGCAGTGCATATGGAGTTCCCGGGAATTATGGTGGAGGATATGCCCCGGGGGTGGCAAGTGCATGGGATTAGACCTCCCTTTATACTGAATTATGTTTGGTATTTCACTCTAGTTATATATACATATTCTGTCAGATTTCAAGGATTATTCTCACTGTTTTCACAATTTACATTTGCATCTGGCTCCATTCGCTAGGAAACTAGCCGTTTAGCCTGTCAGCTGATTACTGATATAGGAAATCAACATCTTAGGCTTGGGTGCATCATCTGCACTTTCGCATGCTCCTTTTGGCGATATGACATTTACAGTGCGGCGGAAATAACAGAGCAGAATCATCGAGCTGATGGAAAGTTGACTGGAAGCGGTAGGAAAAAACGTGGCATTCCTTTTAGGGAATTCCGTATTCTTCATCTCCTCCAACTGCAGTGCGGCGGAAATAACAGAGCAGAATCATCGATGCTGATGGAAAGTTGACTGGAAGCGGTAGGAAAAAACGTGGCATTGTTGGATTTTTTGGAATAAAAAGAAAGGTGGAGTACAGTTTGAATCAGAGAGGAGAGACGAGTGTTAGAGCAGCAACAACAATTTTGCGCCACTCTTTGGTTTGCTTTGCTTGGATTGGACTCATTGTGAACACTGTTGTAATTTCGATTGCATAAATTTTCGTTTTTTTATCTTTTCTTTATCACAAACAGACGATGTTGGCATCTGAATCGAGACCATAAATTACAGTATTATATGAGTTTTACGCCGGTGAAGTATCAATAGTGCATAAAATGTTGGTGCCGGTGGACTATGGATTGTATAAGCGAGTCAACGCTCATATTTGGGTGATATCTACCCCAATTTTCCCTAAATTGCAATCGTAAAAATCATGCTGTCTCTCAAGTCTCGTACGAAGTCATCCACATTTAGGGGGCATAGGACTCGAACCCGAGGGATTTCGACCTGATCCGATCCAACCCAATCGGGTCAGCTTTTTTAAAAAAATCCGGTCGGGTCGATTTTTTAAGAGGTTATATTCGGGTCGGATTGAATTCGGGTTTAGAATGAAAAATATCCGACCCAAGAAAAACATATATTTTTACCTTTATATTTAAAAATAATTAAAATAATACCCTTCTATATATTCTTTTTTTCAATTAAATCTTTATTTTTATTAAATAAAATAATTTTTTTTAAATATATTATTTCATGTCGAGTCGAATCGGGTTCAAGTCGGATGGAGGGTGTATATTTTTCATGTTAGGTTAGATTCGAGTGGAGGGTGTATAATTTTTTAGTTGGGTCGAATTGACCGAAAATCCGACCCAACCCCCTCCTTATGCTGCATTCTTTTGACACTAAACTGAATACGAGTATTTTCAAGGTTGGCCCAATACATGTACCAGATGGGCGACGACCCAAGGCAACATATAGGGGTGACGGCCCAGGGCAACATATAGGGGCGACGACCCAGGGCAGCATATAGGGGCATCAGTAGAATTGATACGCACTCAACCATTGATGACAACTGTAGCGAATGGCGGCCTTTGTAATCCTCACCTCCTTTCTGTAGGTTATTCCCAGCATGTAGGGGCAATGAGTGCCACGGCCACAACACCTCTCTCGCTGTCCTCTGTACCCATCGCAAGCTTGGCTTCGCCACTAAGCTCATGATCGCCGCCCAAGCCGCCATGGAACAGGGCTTTCCATTTATTTATTTTTCTTTTCATTTTCCTTTTTAGTCATTTATCTGCTCATATATGGACTGCAGTACTTTTAAATTAGTTAGTTATTAGTTTTTGCTTGATTACATTTTGGATTAGAAGGGAAAAGAATATTTTAAGAGAAGTAGAACTTGAAATTCCAATCTTTGCTTTACGAAATACTGAATAGTTTTACTTTTATATAGAATGCTTATGTTAAAGTTACTTTTACTTTGATTGATTCTATATTTAGCAATTCTTGAACAGTTTAACTGCAAAATCAATCGGCAAGGAAGAAAAGGCATTTGTGTTCTTCAATACTAATATGCGAAGTGATGTAGGTGTTTGGAGTAGAGTATGTCTCGCTTCATGTGAGAAAGAGTAAGAGGGCAACATTTAATCTATATACTCAGACGTTGGGTTATAAGATACATGATGTGGAGGCGAAATATTATGCTGATGGGGAGGATGCATACGACATGCGGAAGCAGTTAAAAGGTAAGAGTAGTCATCATCACAGCCATCAAAATCACCACCACCACCACTGGTGGTGGATTTTGTTCGGTGATGCAAGAAGCACAGAAACAACTAATACGAGAGGAGATTCTAAATCAAAATCAAAAGCTCGCACAGAATCTGGTTCAAAAGCTGGATTATTACTTGGAGGTAAACATAAGTATCTGAATAACTATAAGTGGCATTGGTTTATATTCTCTAGGCTACTCTTTCTTGCTCATGATATTTTCAGTTTGTTTATTGAAGTAATAATCTGACTGTAGATTTCGAAACTTGTCGATTTCCTACTTGAGATATTGTATGATCCCAGCTAAATGTAATGGTTTCTTTACTATCTCTTTTGCAATGCGTCTTTGTTTCAATTCTAGTAAGATGTCTTCTTTATGTCACTTTCTGCATTCATGGTTTATGATATGTTGACGTCTCGACTTCCTGCACTCCCTTTGTAATCTATGCTTGTTCAGATCCTTTTTCTTGCAGTTTGCTTTTAATGTTTTCCCTTGTTCATGCAACATAACTTCCCGTCATTGTTTGGGGCCCAAACAAAGTGTTAGTTGGCAGTCTGTTATTGTGGAGCAAAGTGATATTTAGTTGGCAATCTACAGTCCTGTTGGTATTTGTATCATGCCATTGCTAATATGATGTAAGTTGCCTTGATCGAACATTCTTGACATGGGGAGAGTAGTGGAAATAGATATGTTTGTAAGACAAGCACAAACAGGACAGGCAGAGGCAATGATCCTATTGGTCGAGTTTCAATGGACATTTTCCCATAATATATACTACTAAATAATTTGGATGGATTTCAAACTTCATAGAAAATGTATGAATTTTCAAGCATAAAGCATGTTCTGGGAATAACCTACGAAAATTACATTTGTCTATTATACGATACAAGTATAGGGCATAAAATTATTATCTCGCCCAGGGCATTAAAACTCATTGGACCGACCCTATTTGTATCATGCCATTGCTAATATGATGTAAGCTACCTTGATCGAATATTCTTGACCTGGGGAGAGTAGTGGAAATGGATATGTTTGTAAGACAAGCACAAACAGGACAAACAGTGGCTGCAAAGTCAGAGACAATGATCCTACTGGTCAAGTTTCAATGGATATTTTCCCATAATATATACTACTAAATAATTTGGCTGTATTTCAAACTTCATAGAAAATATATGAATTTTCAAGCATAAAGCATGTTCTGGTAATAACCTACGGAAATTACATTTGTCTATTATATGGTACAAGTATAGGGGCATAAAATTATTATCTCACCCAGGACATTAAAACTCATTGGACCGACCCTGAGTATTTCACATCAACTTTAGCTGCAAAATGGATGATCCTGCTACTCTTTTATTGAGTACCTCCTTTATTTAGTTTTATTATGTTACCCATATTAAAAAGAATTAATAGGATGATGCAAGTTATATATAAAAGTTCATATGATAATACAATAATATATTTAATAGTCGAATAACTAGAACCGTGGGCCCTTTTTCATTTTTGGGGTACATGTAAGGGCAGTTCCTCTTGGTCTCTTGAGAATTGTGAAGCTAAAAAAATTTGTGGATTAACATCTTCACAAGGAGATATATAATGGAATCTCCGAAACTTTTCCATCAAAAGCTGAACTGACCATTACTCTCCATTCTCTTAGAAAATAATGTAAAGAATAGGAGACAAGAAGGAACCAAAATGGAAGAATGTTATTACTTGGAGAGACAAAATGAAACTTGAGATGAACGGGGAACCACTTTTTTTCCTTCTTTTGCAGAGAAATTTTAAGTACAAAGGATACCAAGTGGACATTTCTATTGGGAAAAATAAAGAAAAAAGAAGTTGAAAAAGGTCATAATGACTTTTCTATGAAACAAAGGTGTAGTGTAACATATGATCACAGCAAGTGGATTCCTGATAGAGATACCTTAAAACAGAAGGAGCATGATCTACCATTTCTTACAATATATAACTTATCTGTATCGATCGGCTTCTCTCACCCAATTTCTTGGTCTTCAAGACTTCAAGACCTAAATGACGTAGCAAACAAATCCTTTAGGAGATCTCGAAAGGCATGGATAGAGGCTCTTCACGAGCATATATGACGCTTGAAAAGAGACTAATGCCTTTAACTTACAACAGCTCAGTAGTATATTGTTGTCAAACTTAAAAAATGGAGGGTGGTGACTGCATACCTTACAGTATCAGCGTCTAGGCCTGGGCACACACCGAAATTCAGCTAATAAAGCTATATGATCAGAGGACCATTCTGGAGAAGGAAGAGCTGTGTCTTTTCTTAAGCTATCCCCATCCAGGAGTTCCAATAACGACTCCACCGTTAAAGAGTCCGCTGAAAGCACAAGCCAAGTTCTCGTAAGCAACTGCAATCACTAATATGACACCAAACATCTAGAGAAAAGGTATTCATAAACATTAAAAAAAAACTGCATGTGTGCAATTTACGAAGCCAATGGTTTCAAGGAATACCAGTGTAAAATATGTAATCTAGGGTGCCGATAAAATCTCGTGTGCAATTTGTAAATAAAGGTTCATTAGTTGTTGGGTCCATCCTTCTTCTCTGCTGCTCCAAACCAAGACCAACACCCCTCAGAAGGGCAGAGTAAGCACTAACCTGTTTGAAAACCTCAATTTATCAAACAAAACCTCTGAATTTCGTACAAAATTCTAGCTCCGTTTCAACAAAATACTGTTTCCATTGCTTTCTTACAATTACATTAAAACATTGTTAGAAAAACACAATGGACCGCTTAAAGCAGTTCATTAATGGAAGAAAGTTTACCAGTGGCAACTGATGAGTCAACTTGCTGTAGGACGCATTCATTAATGGAAGAAAGTTTACCAGTGGCAACTGATGAGTCAACTTGCTGTAAGGACGCAAAATTGCAAGAGGATCACCCACTAAATCCGGATGCAATGGATCTACCTTTCCCATAGCAAGAAGTGAATGGGGAGCACTGCATAAAATTCAACATCATTCTAATTAAGCAAAAGTCTAATGCAAAAAAAAAAGATGGTTCTTAAGCACTAAATATGAATATATAAAGGACAGACGTACCTCCCAGGAACTGAATTAAAATCCCCACACACCAACATTGGAATGTCCGCACTTGCAGCAATTTTCTCCAACCCCTTTAACAGAGTATGCACCTAATTTAACATGACACAAAATAAGTAATTCTTTTGAATTATATAAACATGCATGTATTAATAATTATACAGAAAAGAAATTTCAGAACCTGCCAGATTTTAACATCTTTTAGCTCTTGTTGAACATTGACATGTGTGTTTGCCTGTACACGAAAGCCAGGAATTGTTGGAACAGTTACATGATGCACTTGCATAATACGAAAGAGTTGCAAAAGAATATAACTAAACAAATAAATACAGTAATTTAAATGCGTTTACTTTCATGAATGTACAGAACAGTAGCCCAACTTCCAGAAGGAATTAAGTACATTAAACATTTCCATAAAGTATCAGAGAAATTGAAAGTTGAAAGGAGCAAAGATAGGGAGAGTAAAAAATACAAAATACAAACCACATATGAAAGGGACAGATCTTATCAATCAAATACCATTTGTACTTTGTTAGTCATAATGAAATACAGGAAGTTTCATAGGATTCTGATACTTTTAATTGCTAGAACAAAACTATTATTCAAAATAACTTTCAGCTGACCAATTATATCTTGTAAGTGACAGATCAAAAATCTTTTTTTTTTTGAAGATGCTCGTTGGACAATTTGAGTGCACTGCAACAGTTTTTAAGAATCAAAAGCCCATGCACAGAATTGTTCACGCCTCTATATGGTCTACATGAAGTGATGACTAACCTATCTATCAGAACAATTGACGGGACTACATAGCAACAATTAGGCAATTTCAGTTTTATGAGAACGACAGACTACTCTGGATTCGGAAAATGTTACTCCTACAACATATGAAACAACTTGTGCTAAACTTGCTAACTAAATCCTTTTTTGATTATATATGATGGAACCCAGGGAAACTAGACTATTAGTTGGATTCAAAACTATAAGGCTAAATAGTCCCAACATCTTTTTAATCCCAGAGCAGATCAGCTGCAACATGATTACCTCATGCTCAACTTGCCAATGGGCTGCCGAAATCTAATCAACAGATAAACGATCACCACTGGAAATATGGTATCATGCGAATTACAAACAATAATGGAGAAGGCCAGGAAAATATAGGAAAAAATAAATTCACAATTCTTACCACACATAGAAGCTGCCGCTTCCCAGGATTGTCAGCTCCCTGATTGATAAACTTTGCTTCTAAAACCACAATTAGTGCAACATTATCCTGCAGACAAGAAGAATTTACAAGATATCATTAGAGGAATACATACCATAATCTATAAGAGAACATATATATCTTAGTGGCAAACATTTATTACCTTAACCAAACGATTTAAAGCAGCTTTCTTCTGAGTAGTTTGAACTGCAACCTCAGTCAAGGATTGAGCAGCCTTATTAAATTCAACCTGCAAAAGACATTTTTTGATTTAGCACGAACGTGTAAAAATCCAAATACCACAATAGTAGTACTTACAAACCTCGTATTTTTTAACATGAGAAAATCTATCTCTACGGAAAAATGTAGCACAACCATCAATTGTATGGATATTTCCACTGTAAACCTGCATCACAAACAATATAAATTACAAACAGAAGAGTAATATAACTAAATTAGTGCAATGCGAATCAGGGAAATCTTAAGCAACCTCATTTGTCTTCCTCTTGTATAAAGCTTGATACCCATGTTTATCCAGCTCAGGAGCAAAGAAATCATCAAAATGGTCGCTTTGCACCTGGAAAGATTACAACAGTTTAGATCATCATCTAAATTAAGACCAATGAACCTGCACCATGTTGGATATTTCCACACAAAGTGTAATATAAACATTAAACATACAGCTTTTGCCATGCATTAAACTTCAAAGCTGTGTTTCAATTCAAAAATGGAAGTTCTGAAAGAACTATCATTGATTGGTACAGAAGAGTATCACCTCTTGAAGACAAACAATATCTGCACGATAGCCAACGATTTCCCTCAACAGGTTCTGTCTGCGATATGGCCAAGAAAGGGCCCATGAAGGGCAATAACTGTACAACTCACTGCTAGCATATGCGTCAGACAAAATGTTGTACGATAGAACAGTAAAAGTTCCAGAGGGTGAAATGCGGCCATCTGAATCTAGTTGTGCCATCATATCAGCTCCACCTACTGGGATCAAATGTCGAGGACTAGGGGAAGGCGCTGGAATAACACGAGATGTCAAAATAGTATTGGGATGTCCCACAGGTACTATCGTTTCTGCATCAATTACCACACACTCAAACTTGAGAACATGACCAATATCATCTGTAGTTGGTGTATATGTTTTAGAGCATCCAACTTCAAACCAGGTTTCACCACCACTCCTTTGTGTAACTGCAGCAGGATACAGAGGTGTTGAACCATTTGTCAAGCTAGTGCTTGATGCTGAACCAGTTAAACTAGCACTAATAACTCCAGATCCTGTACTATTGAAACGGCCAAATATCTCTTCCTCTTCATTTCCATTTTCATTTACAGCACTTGCTGCACGGTCATGAAGAACGATGAAATATCTCTTCCTCTTCATTTCCATTTTCATTTACAGCACTTGCTGCACGGTCATGAAGAACACGATGATGCTGCCATGCATCTGAGAAGCACTTTGGAGAGCAATGGTAACTTCTAGCAACAGATATTTTTGCCTTTACACAACCTAGGCATTGCAGAGTGGCTTGCTCAGAGGGATGTACACTACAGGCACCAACTTTCTTATCACTTTGTATGCGATACCTGCAAAACAGACCCAAGAAAGAAGCAACATGTATTAGACAGGCAGATTGCAACTTTCCTATCACTTTGTATGCGATACCTTCAAAAATTGCAAAAAAAAAATAATGACATCATAAATCTAGCACACAAAATAAGAAAAGGCAGATTGCAACAAATCAAAAGCAAACACACTTATATCTAAATGCAAAAGGGAAAGGCCTCAACTTATAAAGGCTGCCTCATGCAATTATTTAAACAATCCAGCAAAGAAGTATTATATAATATTTACCATAAACAATCAAATAATACCAAGAAACTAGCTCAAACCCCAGAGGGATACCCTCAACTTATAAAGGCTTCCCTTATAGATAACTTTTCTCCATGCAAAAACTGAAGACCCACGTAAAGAAATCCACATATTTACCAAGAGAACAGTCAAATAATATGACAAAAAAAGACTCAAAATTCAATTGCTCAACATGACAAGTAACCAAAATACCAAAACCTCAATGATGATGATAAATCCAAGGGAAAAAGAGACGAAAAGTTTAACTCACAATTCATAAGTTCATGTATTAACTAAAAAAGTAAATCATATAGGCAAAGATAGACCCAACGTCACTAAAACGATACCTAAAAGAACAAACCCCCCACAACAAATCAACAAAAAGCTAAAAATTTACTCTGTTGGACAGATTTAAGAACACTTACCACTTGTACCTCAAGAAGTGACCATTAAGAGGGGCATACTCAGGCACATCATCACTGGTAACAATCTTGTCTGGTCGGCGTAAGAGTACGTAAGGCGTGAGCTCGCAGCCAACAATTGGTATATCAGAAGGGAGGTGCACCCGTAGCACACTCAGCATGCTTTTACTTGTCCGGTTTCCTTGTTTGTCACAGTTCGCAACGGTCACCTCTTTGTAAGCCTATCAAATCCAATCCCACACAAGGAGCAGCAGCAGAATATGAAATGTTCTCGAACCGATTAGCAATACTAACAGGGCAGACTCCAGGCGGATCCGCCATTACTTTAGCCGAAAACTCGCCAGCCTTGACCCCAAATCACCCTCTATTTTCCAATTAAAAAACCCTAGAAAAGCACTAAATTTAAACACGAAAAATATAAAAAAAATAAAGCTAAGAACAGATCTTGGAACAAAATTTAGGGTTTTGAAAATAATGATCGAATGAAAAAGAATAACACGAGAAAAAAAATGGGACTTTTGGGGATGACAAAAAAGGGGGAAGTAGATATTGAATAATAATTAGGGTTTTACATATGAAGTGAAAGGAAAGTCTTTATTACATATATTTAGAGAGAAATTTTATGTAAAAAAAAGGATAATAAATTAGCAGCCGTAATTAGTTTTTTTAAATTAAAAAATTGTACGGATTTAACTTGGGGACCGGCTGAGCGGCGGGGTGGGCGTTGAAAGTGGAGGGTTATCGCAGCGGTGATGTGGTGGAAGTGGCGGAGGGACGGGGTACCGGCTTTGTTTGGGATTTCCCTCCTCTTTCTACTCGGGAGCTTTTTATAATACTAAGAGAGGAAGGGAGTCAGTTTTTTTTTTTCTTCTAACTTATTTTTTAATGTTTTTTATGGCAAACTTCTAGGACAAAATATATAAATAATCTTTGGATTATATAATATTTAAATTATGTATCTTTGTATTATTTGTAGAACTAATGTTATAAAAAATTGATATTTTGATTGCATTTGACATATAGTGATTTAGTATGTATTATTTGATACTATAATATGGTGTATTTTACTGGGATTGTAGGAGTTTACTTTATTTGTTTATTATTTTTGTAGGAGTTTGACTTTATTAGATTTGATCCGGATTACGTTTTGAAGTTGTAAAAAAATTCATACATCTATATAAATCCCTTTTGTTTTTAAAACTTCTAGAATCAATGACGTACTGACATGCAACTAATAATCTTTGAAGTATTTTATTTATATATATATATATATATATATAAGTCGTTAATTTTATAAAAATAAGAAATATCACGAAATACAATAAAGATATATAATTATAATAGTAAATTAAACATATAATTATGATAATTTCTTGTAATTATGGAAATAAAAATTAGTCGCTTATGATCATATAAGAACCATAAATATGAAAGATCAACAACATAATAGATAAATGTCATCTTGATCAGTCATAACGATGTCAAACTAACCATTAGAAAAAATAAATGAAAATAACAGTCAAACAACAGAAAAACGTGCCTAAAGATAGAATAAAATTTGTCATAGAAGTGGATGGGAACTTTTGATACGGACATACTTATTGAAAAAAAAAAAATAAAGATGTAGTATAAAAAAATAAAAGGACATAATAAATGTCGGTGGTCAGCAACAAACACTAAAATTATTGTCGCCGTAAGATGAGCGACACATCAACTAGAGAAAACTAAATTTTTAACTTACAAAGACTATTAATATTTGATGTTTATAATTTATGATATAGATATTAATGTATGTAATCTCGATATTTATGGTATGTATATGTGATAATTTAGTAAGTTGAATAAGTATTTGATAAGTAAGTTGTATGTTAATATAAAGTTATGTCTTGAATAAATTATTATATGTATATTTGTATATGAATGTATGCCATCATGTATGTGTATGGAACGGTCATTAAACTAGTTTTAGTAATGAAAAACATGTTAAGTTGGCGGACGCATAAGTTTAGTGCATCTCGGTAGGGGCGGATGCATTTGACCCCCTAGCGTTTAGATACATCCTTATATAAATTATTAAGTATAATTTAATATATTAAGAGAACGAGAAAAAAATAGACAAAAAAATTGCATATACATTTTATTGGAAAAAATAGAGAAAAATATTAAAAATTTGCGCACCCTTATTTTTAAATTTATGAATCTGTCACTGTATTTCGATACTTTATAACTTTATTGTCTATTGGGACTTTGTAACTATCGTAAATGGTATGTATGGTAGTGTTTAAGTTGAAAATCATTTGTAAGTTTGTTTGTGACATGATATAATTTTGTATGTGCTTTATATGTTGAGTAAAATTGCATGTCAAGTGAGTTCGTAGGTTAAGTTTGGTAATGTATAATTCTTTACAGCTTAAGTATGCTTTTAGATGTTCCTTGGTTCAAAATATATGTAACTTTAGATGTTAAATTTGGCTATTCGAAGTATATGTAACTCAATAAAAATATAAACGTGTGATACATACACTTCATTTATCGTTTTTGCATTGCCTGCATGTTGTTGGTTCAAAATTTTATAGTTACTCTTCTTCTTTTTTTGAAAAAGGAAAAAGGAAAAGAAAATTAAAATTAATTGCAGTCAAAGGTAAACGAAGACCAGTGTTTCTTTTCGTTGAAGTGTTCCATTCAAATTCGTAACTTTAGCCTCGCTATTAAGTGCGAAAATAGAACTAATACCCTCAACTTAAAACAACGTCGTATAATTCATAAACGATATATATCTTAAACATTTAATTTATATTTAATACACTGTAAGTATCGAATATTAAAATTCTACATATCAAATCAAATATCCTTGAATATCTTCATAAAAAAATTATAAAAAAAAACAATGAAAAGCAGTATCTTTCAATTCTCTAGTCTCTAAGCACCAACTCAAAACAAGACAAAGAAAGCTTGTGGCGAAAGACAAATGAAAGAATCACATTGGGGGATCCTTACAATAGTAAGTGCAATAACAAATGTTTTGTCTGCAATATCCCAAACCAGCAGGTTTCTTAGAACATCCTTCCATGCATTTGTGAAGTTGGCATGAGTTTGTTTCGATAACCTTATGACATGTATGTTCAGGGATCCATGCTGCATAAGCTCCATGTATAGCCAACTCCAGACCAAACTCGGTTGCTGAAGATTTGAACACAAGAGAATTAGAAAATAACATTTTAGCATTGCCGGTTCGGATCTCGAAATATATGGAAACAAAATTAGATGTTTATGTCGGATGGATGTATTAAACTATATCAAGTGTAGAAAAGTAGATAGAGAAGTAAAACCTGAGGCAAGGAGGAGCAAAAGAGAGAAGAAGATGCAGGATATCCTCATGTTTAATCGTCCTGGTGGCCCAGAGGGACTTCAATTTTATGATTTGAAAGAGATTTGGGAGTGCCCTCAAGGCAGTAGTTTATATATAGCCTAAGCAAAGATTCTTGCAATAAAGATGGTCAAGATTAAGAGCATACCAATCATTACTGAAAGTGTTCATTCAAAGAAGGAATAAATGTGGTGTGCCCTTCACTTTCTGTTGTACTTGTGACAAGCTTCTTGCTTTCACCACATATTCTTTACTTCTCTACACTGCCATTTGGCAATTACTACTTTTTTAGTTTCCAGAGCTCTTCTTTTTGGATTCGTGGTTACTCCCTCAAACCCACAAACATTGGCTTTATTGCAACATGAATTATACAATATATCTCTTATGTCCATATACAACAATTCAACCAATTGTCGATATATTTATATGCAGTCATTAATACCATATGTGCTTCTGTAATGGGGCTTTATTGCAACATGAATTATACAATATATCTCTTATGTCCATATACAACAATTCAACCAATTGTCGATATATATATTTAATTTTGACGTATCAAATATATATATATAACCCAAAAGTTAGTCCAATTAATATAAAGTAATATTTTATCCCGATAACTTGAATTCAAGTAGCATTATCTATAATGTATATAGTTCATAAAAACATTATAATACAATAAAAATAAACGTTTGATAAATAAAATCTAACTTCTTATCCCAAACCCCAACTCAGCTTAAAGCCCATCTCCTTCACTGCTCAAATCAACGTCCTTGACAGTTTCGCTCCCCTTCATCGAAAAACCTCCAACCACCAAACACCATAGATGCTAAGACAAAACGTCAATGCTATGTAGAAAAGTGATATGCAAACACTATGTCCTCAAAATTGCAAATCTTTGCAAACTCAACGGCAAGTTTTCTATGGTCTTTGGATCATAGGAGAAAAGTAACGATGGATAAAAACATTAAATCTGCGACGGTAAGAGAAGAAGAGGAGTTGTTTGATGGATTCAAGTATGAAACTAGAGTCTTATTTGATCAGTGTTTGAGGTGAGATTTTAAGAGATGATTAATAGTTCACTGGGAAAAAAGGGATAAATTTTGCAACTTAAAACACAATGCATAAACAATACAACACTTTGCATAGTAAACCATAATCTCTAAAATGATGGATAAATTAAAATATCTGGAGAAGCAGTACCTCCTCAAAATATACTAATTAAAACAGCACTTCCAAATGTTTAATTCAGTTCACTTTTGTTTTACCAAAAAGAAATCTGAAACAGCAAGACCATAAAGAAAACAGCTGATTTAGTAACCACCCTTGAGATCATTAACAACATCATAGGGGATGGGCGTGACGGTTTCAAGGGTAGCACCCTCAACCATGAAACCCGACTTAGGGCCCTCTGGCTGTCTCTTGGTGCTAATGACCTCACCCTTTTTCTTAGCCTCCGCCTTGAGTTGGTCATTCTTCACCTTCCTGAGCTTGAATTCCTCGGTGCACCTTGAAGGCTGAACATGCTCGACACGCACATGAATTCTCTTCCTGATAATCCTGTTTCCCACCTGGTAAATGAATCAGCAATATTAATACAAATTACACATATTTCCAATCTTAAATAAATAAATCAAACAGATATCACATGAGAGCAGTGCAAAAGGTTTAAATATCAGCCAGGCAAGAATATCAAACAAATTATACTCTAAAAAGCTTCAAATACAATAGTGTTACAAAGATATTTTACATTGACTCTCCATTTTTCATTAAAAAAAATCAAAATGTACATTCATCAAAACAATAAAGACTAATTGTAAGTAATATTATTTAGATATATAATTTAAGCTCATCTAACGAGTGAGATTCAATTAATTTAATATGAAAGAAGCTCAATATCTCTTGAAAATGAACATATGATACACTAGTGCAATAATACAGCTCAATGCAAATATAATGATCAGTATAAGCCAGAAGATCTAATCTTAAATTCACATAACAGCATAATACAAGTTCAGAAACAAATATAATCGGATTTCAACATTTAATACATGAAACTAAACAGAGATTCAAATCAAGACAAATAATTCAAAATGAGATGAAAAACCCAAAATCATCATACACTGCAACCCCATAAAAGAAGAGAACCTGAAATAAAAGAACTTCATTTCTCAATATAAAGAAAAGATAGCCATTTTTAAAAAGAATAAACCCATCGCCATACCTGCTTGTTTACTTCAACACCAATGGCGCGTTTCGTAACATTCCAAACCCGACCAGTGCGGCCGTGGTAGAACTTATGGGGCATACCCTTATGAACGGCGCCGTTTACCTTGACGTCGACATAGTCGCCGATCTTGTAGGTCCTGAGGTAAGTGGACAAGGGAATGTAACCCTTCTTTCTGAAGGGTCTGGAGAATGAATCCCTAGTTCGAGAGCGTACACCATGACCGGCTGGCATATTTTTTTCCTTTTTTCTCTTGCCCGCTTGAAGAAAGAGTGTGGCATTGAGCTTACCGGACCTAAAAAACCCTAATTGAGATCCTTTTATAGATGCATCTTAGGGGTTTCCTTTTCTTTTTCCTGGTCGGGTTGGGCTTTGGTTCTTATTTGTAGGATCCAACTACTAAGCCCATCTAGTATGCCGACCGCTTTAGACTTGGTTTAGATGAAGATCCAGGACTAAAAGTAGGCTGTATTTTAGTTTCAGGGCCTAAATATTCATTTTTTTAGTTCAACAGTATCCTAATGTCTATTTTTAACATGATAACCAATTTAGTTCTAGCATAAAAAATAATAATAACGTTAGATATTTATATTAAATAAAAATTATTTAAATACTTCAAATAAATAATTAATGTAATCTAGACATTTACTTTTTTTAATTAAGCTTTTTTTATAACGTAAAATTCGAATTACAAAACTAGTAGAATTCGATTATTGGATGATTGAGGTTACTATGTTAGTTGAAGTTTGAGAAAGATTTTTGTTTTGAGAAGAGAGGTTGTTGTATTTCATGATGTTATGGTGCGAAGGAAGATATCGATCACGGAAATTTGGGTAGGAATACACAACAGTGGTGATAAGTGGATTGACACAAACTCAATTGATTCCCGTTATATGTTTGCAGTAATAGCTTGGATGACTATTCTCAATTCTGCTAGCAACAAGGGATAGACTATTAAAAATGGGGCTAACGAGAAGTGATAACTGTGTACTTTGCGATGGGGATGCTGAAACTCGAGACCACCTTTTTTCTGAATGCCCATTTTCAGCTGATATTTGGACAAGAATTCTTAGATTATGTGACATGGACAGAATTGCTCGATCATGGACTTACTAGCTAGCTTGAGCGTTAAATTCTCTTAGGGATAAGTCTCTTCGTGTAATTACTTGTAAATTAGTTTGGAGTGCATTCCTTGTTTGGGAGGAAAGGAATGAAGATTTTTTCGTAGTTTAACGAGAGAGATCGATGTGATTTTTGATTCGATCAAGGAAATTGTTAGATTTAAGTTGTATAGAAAAAACATAAAAAGGGTTAACTTTGCATATTCTAAACTTTGTATAGAGTATGATCTTCTTGATTTAGCATCGATTTTTGTGAATATGTTTTTGTTTCGTATAGCAACTTGTTCTTTTTATAATTTGGGGTATGTACAAGATAATATTTGTTCAAAAATAACTCTCAACCATTTGACATTGAACGCTTATACCCTTGACATTCCTAGTGCTTGAATCCGATACCTCAAAGAATAAACAGTTATTGATGCTTCTTAAATATAATACAATCGATTTATCTAAAATAAAATTGGTAGAATCGCTTCTTTTAATGAAAATCTTCAAGATCGAATTGTTCTACTGTTTTGGTTTTCTGTCTTGAGTTTGGTAACAATGAAATTGAAAATTGGCGAATCTAATATGATTTTATTACAGGACACAAAAAGTAAATTTCATGGAATCTGACCAAACTTCAATATAAGCGTAGTTCACACGGAGACGTACGGTAGTTAGGGTCGATGTCATTTGCCCTTAAATTTTTTAAATTTATTTTCTATATCTAAAATTTAAAAAATATTAAAATTTATTATTAAGTATTTTTTGAATATTTTTAAATATCTCCCACCAAAAGTTTTGAAAAAACTCATTAATCTTCTCATTTCAAAAAATATATATATATATATATATAATTAGATCCTCAATTTAAAAAAAAACTCATTAAATGCCTTTGTTTTTTAGAAAAGATAATCAAACCTTCAAAAGTTCTGAAAATTGTAATTTAACCCCAAATTGATTTTTCAAGACCGTCACCACGCTCACACTGCTTTACTGTTGTTTTCCTCACGTGCTCGTAAAGAAATATTATTCTACTCATCTCATCCAATGCTTGTTGTGGAAAATTTATGCCAAATAAGAAAAAGAAAACTCTGATAATTGACTAGCTTCATTTCTCTTTTGACTTGTGGTGAAAATTACACATATTGACTTGTTAAAAAAGGAAAATAATTTAAAATTAATTTCATGTACTATTTTTTACAAAAAAAATAAAGTTTATATATATGAAAGGAATGTTAGTTGTTGAAATTGAGGTCAAACTCAATTGAAAATTACCGGTTAAAGGAGATTACATAACTGGAGTAATCTTTAGGTTTAATTTCATTTAAGTTTGTTCCCATGGATGGATGGAGTTCTCTTAGGGCTCAAAGGGGTCTTGACCCTGTAAAATTCATATATTTGATAATTTTTGGTCTATTTTTATTTTAATTCATATAAAAATAAATATTCAAATTAAAAAACACAATAATTTATTTAATATTTAATTAATTGGCGATCGAACTAAAGATGAATAATCTCATGCTATCAAATTTTTTAATCTAATAATAATTTAAGTCATTATAAGTTTAAATATTAGACAAATAATCATTATCTTTTGAATTTTGAGTTTAAATACTTAAAATATTATATATATATATTTTTAAAATTAGTATTTCAATCCTTGATAATATTTAATTTTAGTTCCTTCTCGTTCCCATGCGATGAGGTGCAAGGAATTTGGAAAGAACAAGACTAAGAGGAGGGTGACATTAATTAGGTTTACTTTGGTTAAAGTCTTAAAGAGAATCTTAATACTAGATTTTTTTCAACCTTCATTCAAGTTAAAATATTTTAATATTTTTTGACCGACAATATACTTTAATAAGATGTCCATATTTACTTTGGTTATGCCATTTAGATGCCGTTTCTTTTCTTTTTCATTTTTTATAAGTATAACTTATGGCGACATCATTTTTAGTGTTGGTTGTTGATCGTTTGTATTTTTTATTTTTTATATATATATATTTACTTTTTCTATATTTTTTCAGTTTCTAATAATTCCGTCTTTATAACACTTTTTTCTTTATATTTATGGTACATTTTTCTGTTTTCATGACACGTTTCATTCGTTTGACCTTTTTTCAGGATTGGATTTGAAGTCGCCTCAACTGATCAAATCACACTTATTTGTTATCATGTTGATATTCCTTACTTTTGACTCTTGGATTGGACTTGAACAAACGGTTTGTGTTCGTAGATAGTTTTCTCACGGCGCTCAATTATGATTTGTAGTTGTCGGTGGTTTTTCAATAGTTTAATCCCTTGTTTTGGTTCGTTTACCGATGTAATTAGATTTGTTCGTATCTATCTTTTGTTTGAGTTTCTCAGATGAGTTTAGCAGTTTCCTCATATAATCCTAAAATGATCTCGATATACTAGTTTATTGTGTCGATAGTTAAAAATATTTTAATGATGTGTTTTTACGATTTTTATTATAATTTTAAATATTTTCTTTTTTTTAATGATCCTAATGACTTTATTTGCATCCAAAAAGCCCCTCTTGTGGTTAGGAGATCCAAATGTTGATGCTTAAGGGATTAACATATGATTGAGAGGTGTGAATTCATCCGCTTGTTATGTGCATGCTTCAATCTAGGTGACAAGTGAGTTGAGTGACATCCGAGATTAGAGGTACAGTTGAGTTTCTTAACTCATCTAATTCGTGTCTAAGTAGTCATAACATTGATGGCTAGTCGTGATTTTGTGATAAGTTTTTGGTGCCATTACCAAGGATGCAAACTAATAATGACAAGCAGCTCAAGTTTATTCAGTAAAGTAGTAGTAGCATTGATTTACTAAATTACTTGTGTCTAGTTGAGTCTTGTATATTAGCATTGAAGTAGTTTTGCACAATTTCTTAGATTGGTTTATCTACTGTTGCATTCAGTTAAAGTGTCTTCTAAATCTCTAATTTAGTTTTGTAGATAACAAGAAAAATCATTAATGGTTAGTTTGAATCAAGAAGAGAACACCCGGAATAAGAGAATTTTGTTCCTGATAATGAAAATAAAAGCGTATTAGATATCTAATCAGTTATAGATTAAATTCACAGTCCCAAAATTGATGCAAATCCTTTTCTTGCTCATGGAGCAGTAAGAATGTTATCCCTAGTTTCAGAAAAATGCAACATGTGAGTGATAGCTATCTTGAAAAACAAGTACTAATTTAAAAAGGATTTTATTCCAAATGACCAAAACGTTATCTCCTTAAAATTGAGGGACTAATTTAGGTCGTTTACCAAAAACAAAAAGTCGTTAACCGACTTTAACTTTGTCAAAAAAAACATGCTTGTATAATTTTCTTTCAGATGACCTTATTTTCCAATGAACTTTGCTCCATTAACTCAATATATAGTGGCTCTAAATCTTAGTTCCTAGTATACTTCACACCATTTAAGTCCCTAAAGAAAAAAACTCTAATTTTCACCATGCCTGAAACCTTCTCAAAACTACTACCCTGCACTTTTTTCTTCCTCTTTACTCTTCTCTTCCTCTCAATCAATCTTGCCTCTGCAAAATCTAATGGCTTCTCGAACGTTTTGTCTCCCAAAGAGCTTGGCCTCGGGCCAGAGAAGCTCAGCCACCTTCACTTCTACTTCCACGACATAGTGAGCGGACGCAATCCCACAGCTATCCGAGTCGCCAGCGCCGCCAGACAACAAATCCGAGACCTTCTTCGGTGCTGTCGTGATGATTGATGACCCTTTGACGGAGGCACCCGAGCGGAACTCCAAGCTATTGGGAAAAGCGCAAGGGACTCCCAAAGAGCTTGGCCTCGGGCCAGAGAAGCTCAGCCACCTTCACTTCTACTTCCACGACATAGTGAGCGGACGCAATCCCACAGCTATCCGAGTCGCCAGCGCCGCCATGACCAACAAATCCGAGACCTTCTTCGGTGCTGTCGTGATGATTGATGACCCTTTGACGGAGGCACCCGAGCGGAACTCCAAGCTATTGGGAAAAGCGCAAGGGATTTACGCATCCGCAGCTCAAGACGAAATTGGTTTATTAATGGTGATGAACTTGGCCTTCATGGAAGGCAAATATAACGGCAGTTCCCTTAGTCTTTTGGGGCGTAACTGCGTGTTTACGACGGTGAGGGAGATGCCTATCGTCGGCGGTAGCGGCCTTTTCCGGTTTGCACGCGGATATGCTCAGGCGAAGACTCATACATTGGATCTTAAAACTGGGGACGCTGTGGTGGAGTACAACGTCTATGTCTTCCATTATTGACGATCGGTGATTAAGAATCGCAACGGCTTTAGATTTTATGGCCTATTTTGATATTTTCCCTTCATTTGGTCCTCTCTTTTGTATTCTTCTGGGTAAATTTCATCTTTTGGCTTTGATTTATCTGATTTGAACCACCTTTATGTTTGTTGATTTTCCAATAAATTCTCATCGCATTATTACACTGTTTTTTATTATTAAATTTGTCATTCTATGTATTAATGGTTATATAAAATATTGATGATGAATGTATGTTTCTTTAATACTATATGGAATTTGTTATTGGAAAGTAAATCAATGTCTCAATCGAATTATGATTGGGATTATGCCATTTTTATTTCAAAATTTCAGAATTAATTATACTATTTATTACAAAGAATTTAAATATTCGTTTTCGAGCTAAAGCTTAAGCTAATAGAAAAAATACAAAATATAAAAGGAAAAAGAGAATAAGCATATGGCTTTAGAGGGCCATTTTATTCTTTAGTTTCATTCCAAACTGAAAAAAGAAGAGACGTTAAATAAGGTAGGAATAAAGTTTTAGAGAAAAGAATGAGTGCAAGAAGGAGCATTCTGATTCCCATTTTTGAAACCATACTTTCAAGAAGGTTTCCATACTTGCTGCGCAGCTCATATAGTTGAACTTATTAATCGGGCGGTATAATAAATTGTAGTTTGTATGGTGCCATTGAAGAATATACTATTATTTGTATAATAAACCAAACCTATATCTAATCTAATGATTAATTCAGATCGGATATTTAAGGGTTTTAGTACATCATCCCACTAAATCAATCGATGGTCGCTAAAATATTTTTTTAATATACTTTTAAGTTTTCTAATAAATTAAAGCGTAAACTAAATATTTAATAATCCAACTATTTTTTTCAAGAGCATGTCTAATGTTACATTCTGGTTATTCGTCATTAAAATTTAACAAAAATATTAATGTGATATTTTTGTATTTTATCAATGATGACATATCATTATTTTATTGTGATACGTCAACATCATCGTTAATTTTTTTAACGATATGTGATAAAAATAAAATAAAATTTTAACTATAATTTAAGAGAAAAATAATTAAATAACCGAAACGAAACCACAAAAAAATTAAATGATTAAATTCGTAGTTTATACTAAATTAAAGTATATCATACACTCGAATAAATATAAAATATTTATTCAGACTGACATGCTGCAAAATAAATGGTGGTGGGGTATATTCAATTTTGAAATAAAAGAGCACTATGCATTACTCGAATTTAAAATTTTCCAAAAGTTCAAAGAAGGAATAGAAATAGTCTAAGGGTACGTTTGGTTTACAGAATGTAAGATTATCAGTGGGAATAAAATATTACCAGGGAATAAGATTACTGGGAATGTTGTATTTTGTTTGGTTGGTTTAGCAGGAATATAAAATTACAGTGTTTGGTTAAAGGAATAAAAGATTATTAGAATGTATATTTGACCAAATTATCCTTATTATATATTTGTATAATATTACAAATTGTAAAATATTTATATATTTTCTTTAAAAAAATTAAATTCATAATATATATATAATTTTTTTTACAAAATTAAAAATATAAAAAGGTTTAATGAAAGGGTAAAAAAAATTTAATCCCTGAACTTCATATAAAATTTTAATTATAGATTTTTTTTTGTAAATCTAAATAATTTAAGGATAAATTTGTAATTTAACATTCATATAATTTTTATTATTCAATGACAAAAGAAGGATATTTTTGAAAAAAAATAAAAATTTAAGGGCATTTTAGTCTAAAACGCCGATAATGTTACAATACATAAGGGAAGGGAGGTAATGACATTCCCGGTAATATACCCAAAAAATCTACTATTGGTAATAAAATATTATCGGGAATGAGATTCCCGACCAACCAAACATGAGAATGTGAGATTCTCATCCCATGAGAATCCCACAATCCTTGAATCAAACACCTCTAAAGGTACAAGTAGGATTTATATCATATCAGGAAGTCCGGAGGTAGGGGCGGGGCTTTATAACCAAAGTCTTCCATTAAATCTTTAATAAACAATACTTTACCACAATACGTTAATGCGCATTATACGGTTCATTTTTATTAACCTAATTTTCATTCCATTTCTCTCTCTATATAAGAAGAACAAAAAATTGTTAAAAATGGAGGAAAGTTAATTGAATAGAAAATAAACAAAGAAATACATATGAATAAAATGAAGAAATGACAATGCATAGAAACTGTTTGAAGAAATGTGCAAAATAGAATGGCACCTTACATTTTAAAAACTCTAAATAGTTTAGTCACATTTAACTTCATTAAAAATAAATTTAACTTTTAAATATAGCACGAACCCCAGTGACATCGGTAGTAAAGAAATTGTTGTTATTCTTTAATGTTTCGGGTTCGAACACAAAGAATGTCAAGGGTACGAGCGTTTAATGTTAAATGGTTGAGAATAACATTGTTTTGAAAACCGGACCGGACCGACCGGGAATCGTTGCCTAGTCCGGTTCAAACTAAACCGGTTGAACCGCTATTAGTGAATCGACCAGAACCGTTGAACCGTTCGAACCAGACCGACTGAAAACCGGAAAAAACCGGGAAAAATCGGAAAAAACCGCCAATTTTGTTGTTTTTTTTTTAAAAATAAAACCAAACGACGTCGTTTATTAAACGAGCCAAGTCGAACTCGAGTATTGCTGAGCTCGACTCAAACTTTAAAAGTAAGCTCAACTCGACTCAAACTCACGAACTAAAAATTATCAAGTTCAACTCGAACTCGAAATATAATATTGAAAGTTGAACTCGAAAAGGCTTGAACTAAAAAAAAATTAGAAGCTCGATTGAAGCCTAAAATTCGAGCTTGATTGAAGTGAAAGAATAGTTCACTCTATGCTCACCAAAAAGCTCCATGATTTTGAATGTCAAATTACATCTATTATTTATAGAAGTTAGTTGGGATGCTCTTCTATGTTTCTTAGCCATGTGGATTGTTTTGTTATCATATTTTTACTCTTTAGACTTTTGGGATGTTATTTTATGTTTCATAACCATGTGAGATTGTTTTTTTTAAATTAAACCAAACAATATTATTTTGTTATGATTTTTTAGCCCAAATTTATTTTTTAATTATAGTTATATAATTATATTTATTATTTAATATGTTTTATCTTAAATATTATGTTGTAGTTAATTTGAATCATTTTGTTTCACTTGATTTTATGGTTTTTAACTCATATATGTTATGACTTGCTTTGAATATGACTTGTGATATACAAAATTATTTTTATTAAATATTTTTGGTATTTTTATTTAATTTTTTAAATAATTATGACATCGTCCGGTTCTTCCGACCGGTCGACCGATTCGACCGGTTGAACCAGTAAACCGATAGCATGACCGGTTCGCTAACCGGTCCAGTTCTAAAAACCATAAAGAATAATCTTTATAATCTTTTAAACATATAAAGCGATCAGTTGCCCATGTTTTTTTTCAATAAAAATGTTATCTAATGAATATTTTAGTAATTAATTTCAGACTAATATATTAGTCACTTGATTTTACAATCAATACTTTGTTTAGATTTATAGTTTTTCACTCTTAAAAAACTTTTAACCTGTTAACTTGTCTAATAAATCTTAACCTTTAATCTATTCTCTAATGAGTTTCGACCTTTAAAATCAAATAAACACTTAATTAATTAAGTGGCTTCGGTGGTGTAAATGAACGTTGATCTCTCTAGAGGTTTTGAGCTTGAGTAGTGGCTTCTACCATCAGTGACGGATCTAGAAATATTTTTGAAGATAGGTACATATATATTGACAACAAATTTTTCATACGAGATGTACACAAATAAAATTTTAGGATGGGTATCATCAATAAAATTGACAACTAGTATAAATAAATTCAGATTTCATGGTGGACACGTGTCCACCCTAGAACCCATGTACATCCACTACTGTCTACAGTGTATGTTGTCAATAAATTCAGAAAATTTTAAATAAATACTATCTTATAATAACCTCGTACTATTATAAACTATTCACTTAACCTAAACAAATCTTTACATATACCAATCTTTCATTTAAAATAAATGTCTACTTAAGATAGTAAAAGAATAAAGATATATTTAATTGTAATATATAAACTTATTTAAATGAACTTCTATAGTTCAAAAGATTCTTTTAGATACTAGATCATATTTGAAAAGTTAATACTTATATAACTTTGTTAACTTATTATTATTTTTATATATTTTTATTCAATCAAGCTGATGCCAATTTAATAAATAAATAGTATAGATTTTAGCTTGTACGTGTGTCATGGTTTAATTGAATGTGTAATATTTATTTATAAATTTTGAAAATGAAAAAAAAGTAATTGCAGCAAAACTTTTTCAAATCCTCATTATAAATATAAAACAAAAACCAAACACTAATGGAGTTATAGCTTAGTTCTTCCCTGCTACTCTCCATCACACAATTTTAATGACTTAGAGCTCTCCCTTTATAGAAAGTAAAGTTTGGGTTCTTAGAATATTCCAAAAATATGATTTGGATTGTTGTGTCACAATGCTTGGATTTTATTAGTGTAACCTCCCAAATTCGACCTTTATTCATTGTCAAGTTCGCGATGTTGTGGAATTCGGGTTAATTTCCACCAATAATAACAAATTCACCTTGAAAACTATTATCAAGGTGTCTAGTGTAAAAACGATTGTACTAAAAATCACCCCAAGGTAGATTCCCAGGAAAGAGGAGGGGTCACAATGGTCCCTCTTAAAATCCACTTTCCTTAGACAGAACTACCAAGACAAGTAATTTTAATAGGACAATAATTAACAACAACTATACCCGACAATAGCTATTAAATAGACACAAAGAGAACACCAAATTTAACGAGGTTAGGCCAAAATTATGCCTACCTCCTCGAACACTACTAAAATAATATTTCACTAATAGAGGAAATATTACAAAGAGAGAAAGAGTACAAATAGCCTTTAATAGTGAAGAATGCTTATATTTGTGGGATGTTAAACTAAGGAGGATGATGGCTCTATTTATAACAAAAGAAGTTCTCCTCCTCCTTATACACAACCAATGTGGGATTTTGCCAAAAAACCAACAAATCTCCACCTTGGCA